ACTGTTCACTTTTGTTGTACATTCTATGAGTTTGGACAAATGTATAATGATAAGTATCTATCATTATGGTATCATACATCCTCTGTGAAACACCTATTCATTCCTCCCTGCCCTTGCCCCCAACCCCTGGCAACAACTGGTCTTTTTACTGTCTCCCTAGCTTTGCCTTTTCCAGAATGGCAAATAGTTGGAATCATACAATATGTAGCCATTTCATATTCTTTCACTTAGTAATATGAATTAAAAGTTTTTCATAGTTTGGTAGCTCAGTTTTTTTAGCACTGAATAATATTCCATTGTCTGGATGTACTACAGTTTATTTATTCATTCACCTACTGAAGGACATCTTGGTTGCTTCCAGGTTTTGGTTATTATAAATAAAGCTGCTATAAACATTTGCGTACATGTAAGTTTTCATCTCCTTTGGGTAAATACCAAGGAGCACAACTGCTGGATCATATGGTAAGAGTATGTTTAGTTTCGTTAGAAACCACCAAACTGTCTTCCAAAGTGGCTGTACCATTTTGCATTCCTACCAGCAATGAATGAGAGTTCCTGTTGTTCCACATCCTTGCTAGCATTTGGTGTTGTCAGGGTTCTGGATTTTGGCCATTCTAATGGGTGTGTAGTGGTAATTCATTGTTGTTTTAATTTGGATTTCCCTGATGACATATGATGTGGAGCATCTTTTCATATGCTTATTTGCCATCTTTATATCTTCTTTGGTGAGGAGCCTGTTAAGGTCTTTGGCCTATATTTTAATTGCATTACTTGTTTTCTTATTGTTGAGTTTTAAGAGTTCTTTGTATATTTTGGATAACAGTCCTTTATCAGATGTGTTTTTGGCAAATATTTTCTCCTAGTTTGTGGCTTGTCTTCTCATTCTCTTGACAATGTTTTTTGCATGGCGGAAGTTTTTAATTTTAATGAAGTCTAGCTTATCAATTATTTCTTTTCTGTATTGTGCCTTTGGTGTTATATCTAAAAAGTCATTACTATACTCAAGGTCACATGGGTTCTATCTATGTTATCTTCTAGGAGTTTTATAGTTTTGCATTTCACATTTAGGTCTGGCATCCATTTTGAGTTAAGTTTTGTGAAGTGTGCAAGGTCTGAGTCTAGATTCACTTTTTTGCATGTGGATGTCCAGTTGTTCCAGCACCATTTTTTGAGAAGACTATCTTTGCTCCATTGTTTTGCCTTTGCTCCTTTGTCAAAGATCAATTGAATATACATAATTGCCTTTTGAAGCATAGAAACACAACTGGTAGACCCAAATAAAGGATGGTCACCAAGTTGCTATCCCAGTGCCCATCACCTCTCTATTACTGGACATCACTTCCACTTTGGGGTTAATTGGGACTGTATGCAGCCAAGAAAAAATAGGTAAACATCCAGATTCAGAATAAAGGAAGCTCCTTGACATTACATTACAGGATATTCCAAATATCTTTTGCTTATTGCAGTAGATGTTCTGATATACTTCCAGGCCTCCTTTAGAACTGAGGATTTATTCCCCAGCTAGAGTGCTTCCAGGAGAAAGTTCTCAGATAACAGTGCCCTCTGGGACCTCGAGTTGAAGACAGCCACTTTGCCCAATCTCACAACCACTTCCCAGGGCAGCCTGCACCCAATGACTGAACAGTGTGAGACTATAAAGACCCAGCCCCATGGCTCCAACCAGGGATGACTCTGAGGATCATCTCAGCCTCAGAACACCTGAGGCTTTCATTGGCAATGACTGAATCCCAGCTTAACTTTTCCTGCTGCCAAACTTTCCTCCTTAGCTTCCCTTCTGCAACAGTTGACCCCAAGAGCACTCCCTAATAAACCTCCTGCATGTTAATCTCCATGTCAGAATCTGCTCCCTGGAGAACCCAACCTGCAATAATTAGTAATAGAAGTCCTTGTTGAATGACTGATTGTCTTTATGGAGAACTAAGAATGGTGGTAATAGGGCTAAAACTCAGGGTTCTGGAACTAGGTTGTGATGCAAGGCATGCAATTGACTAAAAATGACCCTAAATTCTCTCTGCTTGAACAGTGGGCCCCCACCTCTTTCTCCCTGCAGGAGTTGCTGTATTACCTATGTGGTGGAGGGGAGCTCTCCTATCCCAGGGCCCCAGATTTTCCAGGGGTTAGTGGCAGGTAATACTAGACAAATCCTATAAGCAGCTGAAACCCCAAACCAGATGGCCTAGCACAAAAAGGCCTGATGATTCCCCCTGACAAGGCTGCTTTCTCACATCTACCCTACAAAAGGCAAGACAGCCGAGAGAGCACGTTCCCTTCACTAGAAGACAGAATCTCCCTCCTCTGCAATCTCCCACATGCAGGCCTGACCTCTTCAGGCCTCTCTGAGGGTGCAGAGGAGGAAGGAACAGCAGTGGCTTCTCTTCTCTCACTGACACTGGCTTTATGTAGCTTTCTTTTTCTCCACTAAAGTCTATGCCTTCACCCATGCAAGTGGTGTCATGAAATTTATCTTGAACCTTCATGGCTGACAAACGGAGATCTGGATGGGACCTCTTTGTACAACAGTGTGACCACAAAGGCATGAATTCTGCTTAGTACCAGTTATAACTATTTTGAAATGTCAAAAGGGGTTAATAGCTGCACTGGGGATAGAGACAATCCCTGCCATGAAGAAAGGTCACTAGGAGAGCCAGTGGTGGGGTGACTATGGTGTCTGAATGTCTTCAAAGCCTGAGAAAGGACAGCCTGGAGTGAGCAGTGCCCAGCGGCTGGCCAGAGCTGACTACCCACTGTGGGGCAAGAGCAGAACCGTCTGCAGTGACCATGTGGGCTTCTTCACAGTTGCTGAGATAATAAGCTAAATGGTACAGGAAGTCTATATCCTAGATGGAGGGGCTGAACCCAAGTTCAGCTTCCCTTGGTGTCATTGGCTTTCTTCTCCTGGCAGGAAGACCACATCTTTCCAAGGACTCCCAGATCTTCAGGGCCTGGGCAGGCAGAGTTTGCAGTAAAAGCTGCATCTCAATCCAGAGAGCCTGACTCCAGGATGGCCTGATGCTTTCCCACAGTCAAGGGAGTTTACCTTGCTTTATAAAGGAGGAGAGTAATAAGAGGTCCAGGCCATTGCTCTGTGAGAGGACTGGAGGGTGTACCTTTTCTCCACTCTGACCCTGGCCTCATGAATCTCCCCTTCTTCCAGTAGAGGCTATTCCTTAATTGGAGCTGTGGGACATTGTGGAATTCATCCTAGACCCTGGTATATGACAAGAGAAGGCCCAGATGGGATCCACCTTGCCCCACAAAAGGTCATCTAGTATTTCTCATAAAAATAGCTTACAAGCTTCTGTGTAGCTTTACCTATTAAAACACATTCATGTGCGTTAACTCAGTAAGACCCACATCAATCTAGTGAAGTTGGCAAAGGACATAAAATATAATCCACATGTTTTCAGAAAGAAAACTTGGAACACAAGGTTGGGTAAAGGGCATTTTCCTTCCTGGTTTACGAAAAAATCTTATAAATACACAGAACTTGAATCACAGTTACTTACATGTGTAATGAATTATCTTTTTTAAAAAAGATAAAATTAACTGAAGCTTGTATTACCACAGAAAATCCTGGAGATATGGTCAGCATAATTATAGGGCATGAAATAAACCTTGAGGCTGACTTTAAAACTCTCTTTGATAACAGCTTTAAGGAGAGAGAGATCAGATGTTCAGAGGCTTAGATGAGAGGATGGAGGAGAAAAGAAGTTAGAACAAAGAGAAAGTGATTGATAGTAAAGGACATACAAGTCTATGATTGGGAGTTTTAAGGCAAGGCAGGACCCTCCATGTAGGCCAGAAATGCAAAAGCAACTGTAAAAATATGCCCCCAATACCCTGCGTGATGTAGCCACACAGGATAGTGCGGCATTCCTGGAAGAGTGTGTACTTGTTCCTCTTCTTCTGAAATGCCTGCTCTGCTTCTCCTCCCCTTGAAATACAAAGCCATTTCAATAAAATAAGATCCATTCAATAAACATATATCAGAGGCCCACCAGGTACTAGATATTTGCTGAGGACCAAATATGAAGAAGCCACGGTTTAAGAAACAGACCCACCAATTATTCATGGCACTAGGGATGATGAGTGACTGAAATGGGTTTTCTAGTCTTGCACTCTGAAGAGCATGAGTAATGGCTGCTTGATGTGAGAATTAGCAAATATTTTGCTATTTGCAAAGCGTCATATAACTGCCATCTATTGGGGGGGAGGTGTCACTCCACTGAGTCAGTCTTCCTATAAAATGAAGAAGGGACACGAGTTTTATCCATGCTGATTCTGAATCTTCCTGAACTGTGCCTTTACTTTTGTACTATAATGGTGTATCACCAGGAAGCTAAGCAGCATCGCCTCTCTGAGTTTGCTACTTTTCATAGAATCACTGGTCCTTAAAAGTAGAAGGGACCTCAGAGAGTGACTGCTCTAACCGCCACACAGCACAAAAACCCCTTCCCCAAGGTCCTGACAACTGGTCATACAAACAGGAAGCAGGGTTTCTTCTACTTCCTTTGTGTGCTCTGAAGTGATCTGTTTTAATACAAACACTTTTGCACATGGCATTCTGGGAAGTGAGGATCCACAGGGTGCATTTCTGGGGGTACAAAGATGCTTCTAGAAATCCTAGAAAGCCCCCATGCCACCTCTATATAGAACATGCTCATAAAGCAGATGTTTTCTAGTTTTAATTTTTGTGAACTCTCCGATGGATTAGACCAAACGTCTCCGAGCTTTACTCATAATTGCTACAGTAGGTAATTTGTGCCTGTGGTAACAGTAATTTAGAGTTATTAATGAAAATGAAGTCTGATTAAAAAAAAGCCAAACATCTAAACTCAGGCTGAGTAAAAACATAGAGTATTCACAGGTGAATTTTATCTATTTTCTTTTTCCATCCTAAAAGACCAATATTACTTTGGTTACAATAAGAAAAAGTACATATCACACACAGTCTCATATTGTACGTTTGCTGAACATACCTGTAACCCCTCAATGGCCAGTTTGAGGATTGAAGGTGTCAGTTTGGAGGCTTGTTTGAAGGAAAAATTACTCCAATCTATAATTAAAATGAAACCATTTATCTGAAGCTCCGGATCTTCAATAAGGACTTCCAATGACAGCAGGATGGCCCGGAGGATGTCTGTGAAGGAGTTCCTGCAGCCAGAGCAGAAAGGAGAGAGTGTGCGTGAGTATTAGTGGTGATAGCACTTCGTGTGTAACCGTGCTAGCCTCCTCACTCTACTGCTCTGCGAGCCCAGCCTGCGGCGTCACATCCATGTCTTGTACCCAAAGTGATAGAAACTGCGTTTGCTCAATTTCACAGGAACAATGCTTCAAGACTAACGGGATGAAGCCTCCCTTTGATCTGACTGCACCAGCACCTCAAACTTTACCAGGCGTCTCTCTCTTGTGTTTCCATGGGTCTCTGTGCTCTCCTTCCACCACACCACTGATTGATTTTGTTGAAATTCACCCCTTACACATCTCTCACTCACAGAGCTCTAATATCTTTTAGGGTAGAGACTGGGCCATAATCATAGTTGTGTCCTCAGTACCTAGCTACTTAATGAATCATTCCTGAACAAATGAGGTGAGAAAGGCTTAATCAGAGAGGCTTATTTTGATTAAACTTCTTAGTCCTTTTGTCTGTAAGTTTAAAATCTTGCTAAAAGTGTGAAAACAATTGACACTGCAATTGATGCTATTTTTTAGCTTCAATTCATGGATAGACAAAAAAAAAAGCAAGAATAGCTTATTTTCATTGAGGGTGTACAGAGTGTGATTCAGGAAGGAAATCGCTCTGAGTACTTCAGTAACTATGACAACAGGCTGACCCGAATACAAACTACAGTGACAGTTCTCCAGTGTTGTATGTGTTTCTTCACATCATATATTCCCATTCACCAGTTGATTTTTGTTTTAAATAATTTTCAGACCCGAAGAAATGATGGCATATTCATTCTGCTAATTCACCCAACAAATTATCTGAGCTATAAATTTAAGATCTTAGAGGATCTATAAATTACTGAATTTACTGAATTACTGAATTTTTCTTTTTTTTCTTTTTTTGGTAAGTAGGAAAATATAAGCGTGGATGGCAAGTTATGGCAAAACTGTTACTTCCTTCAGGCTATCATTAAAACCAGATATCCTCTTGTGAAATCAGTGTAAAATGATCAGATTCTTGAGCATTTCAATCTGGCTCAAATTCTAACCAAATCTATTGAGTCCAGATTAGAATTCAGGAAATCTGTGATCGAGCAGTAAACAAGTAGGAATTTACTGAATGTCTGTTAGAAGCTCAGCATTGTGTTTCATACCTGAAGTTATAAAATAGCATGTCATATTTCTACTTTCAAAGAACACTTAATTTAGTTGAAGTGGGGAAGGATATTAGCAACATAAATGGAAAGAGAATAATAAAGTTTTAGTAGTCACAGAAGAGTTTGTGGAGGGTTGAAGGCTTGGGATAAGCCTCGAAAGATGGATAGGATTTTGATGGATAATTGAGAGAAGAAGGAGCAAGACATTTCAGGAGAGAGGAGTGACACAGAAAAATAAAGATATCAGCTTGTTCTCTTTCTGTGCAGTTCTTCTTTTTTTTTTTTTAAATTTTATTTATTTATTTATTTTTTCCCCCAAAGCCCCAGTAGATAGTTGTATGTCATAGCTGCACATCCTTCTAGTTGCTGTATGTGGGACTTAGCCTCAGCATGGCCGGACAAGCGGTGCGCCGGTGCCCACCCGGGATCCGAACCCGGGGCCGCCAGCAGCAGAGCGCATGCACTTAACCGCTAAGCCACGGGGCCGGCCCCTCTGTGCAGTTCTTCTTATTAAAAATTTCTTCCTTGTATCAAGCTAAAATTTTCCTCCCCCAAATCCACCCATTGGGTGTAGTTCTGCTACAAAGAAAAAAAAACCTCAGGTCTTCCCACACCACACACTTTCAATTATATAAACATGGCAGTCATGACGCCCTAAATAATCTCTAGATTAAAAACATTTTTAGTAACTTTAACCATTTCTCATAGGAAATGGTTTTCAGTATTCTTCTCATCATTACCATTTCCTTTCAGATATACTCTCTTTTAATTTTTAGAGATGTCAAATTCCTATTATTGTAGGGTAAGTTTTCATTAAGGCTTTTTTTGGTTTTTGGTTTTGCATTCACATCAAACATGATCTAAAAACCCAAGTCTTTTTTAGAGATACAGCTTTGTATTGGGAAGAAACATTGATTTAAGTGGAGCATGGGACCAAATATTATGAGTTTAGGCAATTCCAAATGGAAATATGGAAATGCCCAATGGTAAGCTGGAAATGACCATTAGGGAATTAGAGAGTCTAATCCCGGATAAACTTTCTTAGGAAGAGCACACACATGAAGAAAATCAGGACTGAAAGGCTAAGCCTTAGATAACGCCTACATACAGTACTGAGGTTGAAAGAAGAAGAATGAAGGAAATAAAAGGTGAGAGAATCAAGAGAGTATTGTGTTTTTAAAAAAGGTGGGGGAGTGTTTCAAGAGGTAAGAGTATGATAGATTGCATTACTGACCCCAATTCTTCACTTATCTGAGCATCCACACACTAGCTATGGGTTGACCTCATTGATGATACAGTGTATTTCCTGCTCCTTGGCCACGTGACTTGCTTTAACTGATGGCATGTGACAAAAATGACAATGTGCCAATTCCGAGCCTAGCTCTTAAAGACCTCAGATGTTACTACTTGTTCTCTTGTCTTCTGCCACTGTCATGGTAAAAACATGCAACAGCTAACATGCTGGACTGAAGAGAAGGATGAAAAACACAGACCAGTAACTTCCCAGCCAACTAGCAGATCTTCATAAGAGGCAGAGCCACTCAGGTGAACCCGGCCTAAATAAACTCCAGCTGCCCCACAGATGCGTGAGCAATAATAAATGATTGCTTTTTTAAGCCACTGAGTTTGGGGATGGTTTGTTACACAGCGATAGCTATCCAATACCAGAGGGTAGTTAACCCAGTCAAATGCAGCAGAAAGATCAAGGAGAATAAGGAAGGAGCAAGGGCCATTGTATCTGATGACAAGTCGATCTTTGGGGAATTTGAAATAGCACTTTTAGTTGAATGGTGAAGATAGAAATCATTGATTGTGAAAATCTTTAGCAAATCACTTACTACCTCATTTTACTCCTGTATAAATGAGAGATAATACCTCTTCCCATCACATATCCACTTGTATCCACTCCCAAGAAAATACATTGAATTCTGCTTGGAAACCATTTTATGCATTTTCAGGACCAGAAGCTTATTATTGCAGGATAGGCATTGATTGGCACTGAATGAAGTATTACTTTCATGGGATGGTCTCAAGAGAAAAGTAAAAGGATGCTGGACTTCATTATAGTTTCCAAATGTTCAAATGCTTCACTTTTCCAGAGGAACTGGATGGGCAGGAAAAAGTTGAATGGAATGTGTCTCAAGAAATGAGGCTTTACCCCTATTGAGGAGCATGACCCCACTCCATACTTTAGCTGCGATCATTATCTTGAATTCCTTACCTCTTGACTTCCTCATATGAATTTCCTCATGTTTTTCCTCTTTCTTATTTATGACATCTTTGATCCATGAAATCCTCCCAGCTTTTTCTAATTTAAAATACCTACCAGACAAGATACTTTATGTAGTTCCTCCACCCTCAAGGAGGTGGAGCACAACTCCCCACTCCTTAAGTGTGGGCTGAGCATAGTGACATCCTTCCGAAGAGGAAACATGGAAAGGGGGAAAAAAGAGTAACTTTACAATGGAGACACCTGACAAACACTTCCTCAGCCAGGTGGTTAGGGTCAAGATCAACAGGGATAAATTATGTTGATAGTAGTTACCCTTGATATGGTGACAAAAATGGCACTTTACCTCTGTGATCTTCCTCCCAAAAAACAATAACCCCAGATTAATCAAGAGGAAAACATTAGACAAATTTTAATTGAGGGACATTCTACAAAATACCTGACCAGTACTCCTCAAAATTGTCAAGTTCATAAAAAACCAAGGGAAGTCAGAGTGTCACAGCCAAGAGGAGCTTAAGGAGACATGAAGACTAAATGCAATGTGGATCCTGGATGGGATCCTGGGACAGAAAAAGAATATGAAGTAAAAGCTAAGGAAATCTGGGGCCAGCCCGGTAGCGTAGTGGTTAAGTTCATGCGCTCCACTTCAGCGGCCCTGGGTTCACAGGTTCAGATCCCGGGCACAGACCTACACACTGCTCACCAAGCCATGCTGTGGCTGCATTCCACGTACAAAATAGAGGAAGAGTGGCATAGATGTTAGCTCAGGGACAATCTTCCTCACCAAACAAACAAACAAACAAACAAAAACCCTAAAGAAATCTGAATCAAGTATGGACTTCAGTGAATAATAATGTATCAATATTGGTTCATTAGTTGTAACAAATATACTATACTAATGTAAGTTGTTAATAATAGGGGAAACGGGATGCACGCCCCTTTGCTATCTTCACAATAATTCTGTAAATCTAAAATTGTTCTAAATAAAAAGTTTATTTTTTTAAAAAAAGTGCTTACTAGAGTTTGTATTCTGCCATGGTAAGTTTCCATAATCTTGTAACAAGGTTTCTAAGCAAACCAGAAATGGTCGTAAACAATTCGGCAACGTCATGCAAACTGTGGAAATGAGAACAGAAGAAATTTCCAGAATTTCTTCATTCTACCAACTCATTTAGACTTACACATTGTTTAAGTCAAATAACCCAGAGGAAAAAACTTATTTTGTGTATTGTCTACAATTACAATTCCATCAGTGTAGTTTAGCACTTGTATCAAAATGAACAAACAGGTGACAAATGGATATTTACAGTTCTTCAATCCTTTTCTATAATTTGCATAGCATTTATATAGTCAGTTCTGGATTATATCAGTTTTAGATTGATAATTAAAAGTTCCAATGTGATAATGCATGTCAAAGTATTATGTGAACTGCAAATTGCCAATGAAATGTAAAGAACTGTATTATCAGAAAATAGAAAACTTCAACTTTTCCCAGAAAAGGATAATTTCATATTGATTAGCACTTATTGATGGTTTATCTACAAGGGCTTCATCATTATACTGTGACCAATTAGAGATTATGAGTAGTGACTCATTTGTAG